CGCGCCGGGGCAGCCATGTGCTCCCAGCCCAGAAACCGCAGCTGGGGCTTCCGGTTGGGAGGCAGGACCAGATGTTGTTGGAGCCTGCCGGGCTTCCCTTGGGTCCTACTGCTCTTGATTTCTGTCATTTTTGACAGGAACCAAGGGCAGAGAAATATTAATTCTCTACATTTTTTTAGGGGCTCCGCGGGCTGGCCTGCAGACCGTATTTTGCCCATCCCTGCCTTAAGGCTACAGGTATCAGAACAGTAATTCCAGTTCCTTTGGTCCTGATCCTCTCAGAGCACCAAGGTATCCAGGGCCTACTTATGCCACGGCATCTGCATTATCCTGTTGAGTTTTGGCATCAGGGGCTCACTTAGCCACATTGGTGCCAAGTGCTTCTATGCTGTCAACCTTGATACTGGCGGCTCTGGTTTGACACTCCTTGAGTCTCCCTTGTTAACTTCAGCAAGGCCAGTTGTACCTGAGGGGATCTCAGTTAAATTCATCAAGGTCAGTTGCATGGAAACACCAAAAAAACCCTGTGTTGCTTCTCTAAAATAAAAGCTTTCATTCCCCCTTTATGAGGAGACTGACAAAGTATCTCCCTTTTCTTGCCCTTTCTTTATGATACACAGACCCTAAGTGCTTGGTCCTGTTGGCCTCCAATACCCATTTGACACTCCAGCCCTACTGTGAAATCAGCTTCACAAATAAGGCTTCTACCCCAAATCAGTCTACTCTGCAATTTTAAATACGTCAGCAGGCTGTATGTCTGCCAAAGTCTTCTCCATCACATTCAGTTCAGCAAACAAACACAAGAGCTCATACTTCATCCTTGTTTCCAAACAGAGCTGTGATACCCCCTTCTTGAACCTCCACTGGATGATCAGAAGTCATTCAAAGAGAATTTCAGACACACTGGAAATTGACTGTAACAGTTTGGGATAAAAACAAAAATCACACACTCTTGGACATTTTACATACTGCTTTTCTAAGCAGACTAGCTATGACCCTGCATAAAATTGTGGCAGACTCAAGGCTCTTCGTTCCAACAAAAAAGAAAGCTTAAAGAAAGTCATAAATAGTTCCCTCAGTGGGATTTGAGTATTTTAATCCCAATATGGCTCTGCTGATTTTCTAAAGCAGTGGGGGCCAGCCTCTTTGGCAGGCATGGCACAGATTAGATGTGTGCCCTCTCCAAGTGCAACTCTGATCCCTTTCCTTTGCTCAATCTGCTGCTCTTCTTTCTGCTCCCTACTCCATATTCCTTGTCCAGTCCCCTCCTCTGTTTTCTGCTTCCCATCCTATTGGCTGCTGTGTTACCTGTCCCCTCCCATATCTACCAGGTGCCATACACAGAGGCTGCCTGTGACACAGATTAGGCACCTAATCTAAGGCCAGATAAGACTCCTGGATTCTTAGATAATATTTCTCCTGATTACGGAAGGTCAACTAACAGCAGACACACTGCATGAGGTCTATGGTAACAGGTCACCATACACTGCACACCCTAGTTTCAGTCCTCTGGGCTGCCGAGAGGTCTGGAACGCCTCTGAAGACCTTTCTTTTGAAAGAAATAATGGATCTGGTGCTAAATTGGGATGGTATCCTGGATACTTCAGAAGATTTACATGTAGCCTTGCATCACTGGGGTATTTATTTATGTCAACCAGGGTGACATGCCAAAGTAAATAAGATTTGTCTGCATAGGTAACATCAAATCACACATCAAATCTGCAAGGTGCAGTTCATCATTGGGCTCAAAGCACCCAAGTAGCAAACATACTTTGACATGAATATATAAGATGAGCAAATTACACCACACCAAGATCAGAGAAGGGACTGGGGAGCAGGCAGCTGCCCAGGCAGGCAATGGTGTCCCAGCCTCTGCTCTGATCTCAAAGTGGGAGCTGGGCAGGAGGCAGCTGCCCAGAGCTGGGGTGTGGGGCTGGGAGACAGATGCTTTGGAGGCGGACTAGTTCTTCCTGCTCCCCAGAGCCCAGGCATGATGACAGTCTGCCAGCCAGAAGCTGGTACCCAGGGGAGCCTGCACCTCCCCCTGCCTGCTGTAGAGGAGCAGAGTGGGGCACGAGTAGCCCAGCACTGAACTGCTCCTGTTGGGAGCAAATTTGCTCCTGACAGGTGCATGTGTAGACATGTTCCCAGGGAAAGTTTACCGCACATTATTTTACTGCACAGTAAGATTACAGCACATTAATAGCACATGTAGATGGGCCCTATGTAAAGCATTAAAACCACCAATACTATAAGACCTGTATTTGCAAGAAGGAATCAATTTTGAGTATCCTAACTTGAATGATGTTCCAGCCACAACATTTAATATAACTTTTTGCATTTGAACTTAAAATGAAAAATGACTAGATTGTGAAAAAGGGCAGTGACATCCTATCCTGCGTCATGTTATATAATCCTTTTTTCAAGTGCATAAAAGTATGAAAACACACTTACCTAAAAGGGGTGCTATCCAATACACTAGTGAATACTCCCAGAATTCTTCATGGAAACAGTTTGTGTGTAATGAAAAGGCCAATGCTGGATTAAATATTGCTCCTGTGAGGTTTCCTCCTGCAAAAAACAAGCAAGCAACAGCATCAAGAAAAAGGGTTTAGCTTTATCTGTACTACTTTTGAGTTATTAGGTAGTGAGGTATTAAATAAAATGTAAAGCCTTGATGCTACAATGGAATCTATGCCTTGTTACACTGCTAATCAATAGCATTACAGAACTTAGTTTAATTCTGATATGAAATGAACACTTTTAGTAGAAGTTTAACAATATGTTCTAGGCATAGCCTATAACTCAATTAATATATTTCTAGCAAATACCATATTTAAATCGGTTAAGGACAATTAATCAATCAAGTAGTCTATCTTAGTAGGTAGTTTGTATTATGTTTAAAAAAAAAAATCTCTATACACACCAGGTCAGGGAAATTTCTAAAACCTTTCTGACCACTCAGTCTCCTTTGTAGGTAGGGTCCATGGTTGTATTCTTGGTGTGAACTATATGTTGTCAGTCCTAATTGTTGTTTACTTAAGAAATGTTATCAAAGATTAATTTTACTCTATTCTTCTGTCTACTTAATGATTTTAAACCCTCTATATTAATAATTAGGTGCTACTTTATGAAAAGTTAACAACAAATCTCATTCACAATTGAGTTAAATTAAAAGTACTGCTA